TTTAGCTCAGTAGTGTGATGATGTTTTTCTGCCAAACTATTTTCCAAAGTAGGTAAACCATTTTACATTTTCATTAGCAGTACATGAAAATTCCATTTGCTTCACAACCTTTCCACTATTTGCCATTTAAGTAAACCCATAGGGATAGTATATTAATCACTTTTATTTTCATTTCCCTAATAAAATAATGGAATTGAGTATTTCTATTCATGTGCTTATTTGCCCTCTATATATTTTCTTTTGTGTTTGTCCTAATCTTTTAATCCCATTTATTTCTTCTTCTGAACTATGTGCTTTGGTAAGATAATACTGAATAGAAGTGGCAAAATTAGACAGCCTTGTCTTGATCTTAAGGTAAAAACATTTAATCCTTATCATTAAGTCTGATGTCATTTGTAGATTGTTCATAAATGCCCTTTAACTTAGGAAATTCCCTTCTGTTTCTAGTTTGTTGAGAATTTTTATTAGTAACTGACATTGGATTTTTGTCTAAAGCTTTTAATGCATCTATTGAAATGACTATACATTTTCTTCTTCCTTAGTGTGTTCATATGACAAATTACATTGATTTTTGAAAATTAAACCAACCTTGTATTCCTAGGATCCCACTTGGTCATGATGAGTTATTATTTTTATATACTGTTATATTCTTTTTCCTAAAATTTTGTTTAGGATTTTTGCTTGTATTCATGGGATATTGCTGTATAGTTTTCTTTCCATGCTATTTTATGGTTTGGGCAGCAGAAATGTTCATCTCATAGAGTTGAAGGTATCCCTTGCCGTAAATCTTCTGAGACAGTCTGTGTAGACTTTGTAATATTTTTCCTTAAATATTTGAAACAAGTCACCAGAGAAGTCACTGAGGCCTGGAATCTTCTTTGTGAGAAAGCCTTTAACCACAAATTCAATTTCTATAGCAGAAATTCAGGTTTTCTATGATCTTGACTGAGGTTTGGTAATTTGTGTCATTCATGGAAATTATCCATTTCACTTTAGTTATTAATTTAAAGGCATAATTTGTTTTGAATACCTTTAACTTCACAGCAATATAACTTCTCTAATTTCAGATAATAATTATTTGCATCATCTTTCCTTTACTCTTGGTAACTCTGGCTAGAGGTTTATCAGTGTTATTAATCTTTGCAAAGCACCAGCTTTGGTTTTGATGATTTTATTATTTAAAAAATGTTCTGTATTTTCTTGATTTATACTCTAATATTTAATGTTTCCTGTCCTTTGCTTACTTCAGAGTTAACTTGCTCTTTTTTATTTTTCAAATAAAAGAACTCGGTGCTATAAAATTTCCCAAGTACTGCTTTAGTAGCATTCCACAAATTCTGAAATGTTCTGTTTTCATTTTCATTCATTTAAAATACTTTCTAATGTACCTTTTGTCTTCTCAGCACTCATAAGGTATTCAGAAATGTGTTATTTAGGGTCCAAATGTTTGGAGATTTTCCACGTAATTTTCTGCTTTGGCTTTAAAAAAAATTAATCCAACTATAATCATAGAACATACTTTGTACTGCTTAAATCCTTTAACATTTCTCAAGCTTTATTTTATGGCTCATAATATGGCCTAATTTGATAAAGGATCTGCATGCACTTGACAATTAAGTGTGCTATATTAATGTTGGAGAGTATGTGAGTCAACTGGGTCAAATTAATCAATAGTAATGTTCAAAATTACTATATGCTCACTTTTTTGTCAACTTGTTCTTTTATTATAGAAAGAGTATTAAAAGTCTAAGTATAGATATGTTTTGGATTTATCCATTTCTCCTTATATTCCATCAATTTTTGCTTCGTGTAAGTAGTGTAAGACCCCTTTATCACTATGAAATTACCTTCTTTGTCTTGGTAATATTTTCTCTGAAATATACTTTGAGATTAATATACTCATTTCAGCTATATTATGGTCATACATTATGGCTAATATTAGCATGATATATCATCTTTTACTTTTAACCTGTTGTCTTTATATTTGAAGTATAATTTTTCTTGAAGGCAGTATACAAATAAATTGTCAATGTGCCAATCTTAGCCTTTTAATGGAAAGTTTAGACCTTTTATATTTCATTTGATTCCTGATAAGTCTGGGCTCAAATATACTATATTGATATTTGTTTTAAATTATTTTATTATTTTTTCTAGGGTTTATAGTAAATATCTTTATATAGGTTATCTTTAAGTAATATTATACTTATTTTATATATTAGAACCTTATGGTATATCTACACTTAGATTTCTCCTTTCCTGCCCTTATACTATTGCTACATACATTTTACACATATATGTAATCCCCAAAATAAATAGTTATAATTGTTTACACACCAAATACATTTTATAGACATTTAAATATTAAGAAAAAATATTTACTTTTTTTTTTTGGTACCGGGGATTGAATTCAGGGGCACTCATCTGCTAAGCCACATCCCCAGCCCTATTTTGTATTTTATTTAGAGACAGGGTCTCTCTGAGTTGCTTAATGCTTTATTTTTGCTGAGGCTAGCTTTGAACTCGTGATCCTCATGCCCCAGCCTCCTGAGCTGTTGAGATTACAGGCATGTACTAACCACACCTGGCTATTTATTATTGTTATTATAATTTCCAGTGACCTTCATTCCTTTGCATAGATCTGTTATTCCATCTGGTACGACTTTCCTTTTGGATTTTTCCTTTAACATTTCTGGTAATGTGAGTCTGCTAGTGATTATTTTTTTCAGCTTTTGTTTATCTGAAAATATCTTCTTCTTTTTCTTTTTTTTTTTTTTTGCTGGGCATAGTATTCTAGGTTGATGGTGCTTCCTCCAGTATTTTGAGAATGCTACTCAACTTTGTTCTTGCTTGCATTACTTCTAACAAGAAATTCAATGTCATCCTTATATTAGTTATATGGAAAATGTCTTTTTTCTCTGGATGCTTTTAGGTCTTCCATATCAATGACTTTGTATAATGTAATTATGACATGCTTTCGTGTAGTTTTTTTTTTCTTGTTTCTTATTTTTGGGATTCATTGAGCTTCTTGAATTTGTACAATTACAATTTTCCTCATTTTTTGAAAAATACTTTCTTCTTTAGAAACTCCAATTACATGTCTATTTGGCCTCTTGAAGTTATCCCACCATTCACTAGTCTTTCTTTTTGTTTCTCCATTTTATTTTTGCATTTCAGTTTGGATTATTTCAAATTTACTAATCTTTCTTCTGCCATTAATATTACCCAGTATATTTTTTCCTTCACATAGAGCAGTATAATTTAAGTCTTTTTTTATATCTTCTATTTTTCTGCTTAAATTATGTATGTCAATAAATTAGAATAATTAGTGTGTTTTCTATTCTATGATCGGTGCAGGTCCTGAGTTAGTTCCAATCAATTGATTATTCTCTTTAATATTGATTGCACTTTCCTGCCTCTTTGCATGCCTTGTAATCTATGAATGGATGCCAGGTATTGTAATGGATATTTTTGCATTTCTTTAAATTTGCTTGTGCTTTGTTCCCAGATGCTGCTACATGAGAATAACTTAATCCTTTTGAGTGTTAATTTTATAATTTATTAGGCAAGTCTGCAACAGTGCTCAGGCTATGGCTCATTATCAACACAATTGCTACTAAGCAAGATTTCCTGGGCATTCTAACTCAATACCCAATGAATTAAGAAATTTTTTTCCAGTAGAGTAGATGGAATCAGAAATGATTCCAGGGCTGGGGCTGTAGCTCATTGGTAAAGCGTCTGCCTCGCACTTGTAAGGCACTGGACAACACCACATATAAATAAATAAAGATATTGTGTCCAACTACAACTAAAAAAAAATATTAAAAAAAGAGAAATGATTCCAAGTCCTGTTAGGCTCTATTCCTTCTAATTCTGTCAGATAGGTTTTCCTTTGACTTTAAGTAGTTTCCTCATATATATGTACTGGACAGTAGAACTTTCCTGAGTAGTTGAAAAGGACTCTCTGTAGATTTTTGTAGTTTTCTTCCTGTGAAGCTCTCTCTTCTTGGGTACTTTGATCTGCAAATTCTAGACAATTTGCTGTTCCTTCACTCCCAGTTCCATCTCCTCAAATTAAGAAATCTGCTGTATCAACCTGGGCTCCTCTTCTTGAGCCATGATCTGGAAACTCTCTTAACACAATAAGCTGGGATATCACACAGGGCTCAATTCATGTGTTGTCCATCTTTCAAAGATCACTGTTTATTGCCCTTTCTTCAGTGACTTGAAAACTATTGTTTACAATATGACTTTAAGAAAATGTTTCAGGTAAAAATAAGAATTCAGCCCCTATTATTTTAAATAAGCAGGTCCTAAATTTATATTTTCACTTAGAAAATAAAACTCAAATTTAAAAGTGAAATGTTGACAGAGGAAAATAACCATTGAGTGCTAAAGAAAGACAGACGTAAATAACTTCCTGATGTTAAGATCTGTTTAGCATAAGTACACCTTTTCATCTATCAACTTTATCCATACTGACACACTCAACATCACATGTGCGCTTTCTCCAGCATTTAATTCTATGGCGGAAGCTCTGGATGACCTCTTATCAGTTCCCGAATGTTTCCCAGTGGGACTCGGTGTCAACATTCTTAAAGGAAGATAAGATTGTGACAAAGTTATTGAGTACAGAGAAAGGAATACTGGTCCTCTTTCAAGAACTGTCTAAGGGCTGTAAGTCTCCTTCTTATCTGTCTGAATTGAAAGCTACAGTAAAAAATAACAAATTTTTTCAGTAACACAGAATGTCCTCAAGGAGGTGAAGAAGAAGGAAAGGGTGTTACTTGGGATGAAGTTGGGGAAAATGTCTACTGCTAAAACTCATAGTGACCAAATTTTACTTCTTGAGTTGTGGTCCTCCCATACTAGTTTACTCTGGGGACCTCAGGTGAACGGTCAAAGGGCTTCTGCCTCGAGTTTTGTTTATTTAGGAACCAGAAAAGAAAAACAAAAGCAAACTACCTGCCTCCCACCTACTAATGATGTTGAGAATTAATTACCTGCTTGAAGCAATGGACAGGCGCTGGGACTGAACATGTTTCTTTTAGGTATTTGTCCCAGGTAAAATGACCTGTAAAGGAAATAGAAATCTCTATCACAGTCAACTTCCTAAAAAATGCTTTTGGGATATAATCTATGCTAAACATTAAGCCACTTGCAGACTTCATTTGAGCATAAAGAATTTTTTTTTTCCTGTTTGGGCTACAAGGAGTATTAGGGAGAAGGATTTAGTTGACATGAATGGATCATTTATTAGATTAATGTTTTAATAAAATCATGGTTTCAAGATAACCCAAAGTGTTCTCCATGTTAGTCTCTAAAGTAATCCAAAATTCCAAAGCAAGATACTCAACTATCTTAAAGAAGTGCCCAGGAAGCTCATGGAAAACAGAACAGAAGAAACAGAAAGGGAGTGGGGAGATTCCTTCTGAACAATCTGATTCCTGCAGTGGCCCTTTATTACAGCCAATGACAGATTTTAACACCCAATGTGGTTGGATTCTACCTTCTTGGCTTAGAAAGAATATGAAAGAAAGGCATCTGGAGACATGAGGTGAAAGGATTTGAGGGGAGGGGAAGCCAGAGGAGTGAGATGATACTTGAGTCCTCACTCTTTAAACTGGCTTTCTCTCACCTATCCCTATCCCACTCCCATCCCAGTCACAGCTGTATTGCTTTGAGGTACAAAATGACAAAGGTCTGGTAATCTAGAGAAAGTAGGACCTGGGAAGCATTTATGATGACAGTAAATAAGAATATGTCTTTCAAAGTTTAAAGAACACTATCCTAGAGAAATAATCTTTAAGGTGACATCATGCTGGGGTCAGAAAAACATGGTAAGGGACAGGCTATTAAATACAGATTTCACTGGACCAAAAAAGATTACCAAGTTATTTATTTAAAGGTTAAACCAATTACCAATCTCCTCCTAATACCCACCTAGAGGTGACCCCATGATGGAGCAGGGAAGGTCCCAGAGACTCTCACAAGCTAAAACACTGTAGCAAACCAGCATTTCTTGAAGTTTCCTCTGTAGTGGAGCAGCACAGGGCCCCTTTGGGCCATGCAAAAAGCACTAGATGCTGGGAATAAAAACGAGTCACTGAATGATGAAAACTAAAGCACTCCAAAGAAGATGCCAAGACTTTACACTCTATTGATTTTATAGCTTCTGTTTAAAATTGGTTCCTTTCCCACCATCATCCTTAACTAAGCCAAATAGATTTGGCCAGAAATCAGTCAGTTCTGAAACATTTCATGAATTAGTCAATGATTAATCATCATGACCAGACATAGTCCATGGGTAAATAAGTTGATATTTCCTGAAGTTAAGATTTAAAGAGGTTATCAGAATTTAATAAAGAATTTGCTCTTAGCTGAGAGGGTCCTAAATCAAGAACTGAATACATGTCATAACTGTTCACTATTAGAAAAAGAAATCATACAAATAATTATTCTATCCTTATAAATTAAAAATTAAATTAAATAGTATGTATTGAATTTCACTGAATTGAAACTCTTAAGCTCTTTTATTTAGAGCAGCATGTCCAATATAACTTTCTGTGCTGAGAGAAATGTTCTGTATCTGTGCTGTCTAGTAAATTAGCAATAGATACATGTAACTTCTGAACAGTTAAAATGTAGTTACTATGGGTAAGAAACTGAGTTTTAAATTTTATTTGATTTTAAATAATTTTAATTTAAATACCTACATGTGGCTAAGAGCTAATGAACTGGGCAACACATGCCTAGATTTTTGATGAATTCTGGTTAATTGCTTATATTGGCTTAAATTCTGACTAGAAGAACCCAAGAGACTTTCGTTTTAAGAATTACCACATCATTAGTGATACCACAATAATTAGAATATTAATTATAGTTCTCTATTACCGATAGCACATGGAATCAATTCTTGTGCTATCAGTATACAAGCCAGAAACCTCAGACATTACACCACTTTGAAAACACCCTATTAGAAACTAAATGAAAAAGAATCTCTTTATTAAAAGCAGTCTATCCACTATGATGATTGATGGCTTAAACCATAACTAGACTGATATTTTTCTTATACTTGACTTCTCAAGCTTAGTCCCTTAGTCAGATGTTATGGTTTAGATATTAAGTGTCTCCCCAAATCTCATGTGTTGAAACAATGCGAAGAAAGTACAGAGGTGAAAAGATTGGCTTATGAGAGCCTTAACCTAATCAATGCATTAATCCACTTGAATGGATTAACTGGGTGATAATTGTAGCTGGAGGCAGTAGGTCACTGGGGGCTTGTATTTAGGGTTTATATTTTGTCTGTGGTAAAGGAAACTCTCTTTCTGCTTCTTGGTGTTCATGTCCTGAACTGCCTTCCTCCACCATATTCGTCTGCCATGATATTTTGCCTCATCTTGGGCCCAGAACAATGGAGTTGGCCATCTGTGGACTGAGAGCTCTGAAACCATGAGCCCCAAACAAAACTTTTCCTCCTTTAATTATTCTGGTCAGGTCTTTTGGTCACAGAGGCAAGAAAGCTAAGTAAAACATCAGGTAAACTGCAAATTAAGATAGTTCTTATTAACTCAATAAGAATACTTGAAAACACTTACTACCAATGCCTACCACAAATATTTGCAAGCACTATATTATAGAGAGCAAGATATAAACCAGGAGTTGGTGAAAACAAAATAATAAAAATTTTATGCTTTGCAGGTCATATAATCTATGTCACAACTACTATGCTATTGTGTGCAATAGTAGCCATAAGCAATATGTAAATGAATGAGCATGGCTATGTTCTATTAAAACTTTACTGACAAAAATAGGCAGTGGGCTGGATTTGGCCCCAAACAATAGTTTGCTAATCCATGGTCTAAACAATTGATACCAAAACCATAATCATAGATTTTTTTCACTCACTTGAACAAAGTTCAGGACCCTGTCTTCAGAAGTTCTCAATGAATAGGGTTCAAGTGTGGCATGAGAACTTGTATTTTGAAAGGCTCATTAGGTAATTCTAATTAAAACCTGTGTATAGAAACTATTGGTGTAGCTGAAAGAATGTGATATTTGAAGTCAGAAGATATTGGTTTAAGTCTTGTTTCTATAGCTAACAATCTTGGGGGAAATTACTTAATCCTTCCACACCTCACTTTACTTATCTGAAAAACAAAGATAATACCTATCTCGTATGATTGTACATACATTTTTCACTTAATAATATTTAAATTCCTTCCAAGTACAAAGAACAGTGTTAAATCTTATGGGAACAAGATGGATAAAGTTCCTAAATTTATAGAGCTTTCAGCCGAGAGATAAGCAGATATAGTAAAAAAGTAATAACAAATATTCTGTTACAATTAAGACAAATTTAAGTTAATGAGGTAATACAGATTGCCTTGAGAATGTAGTACAGGGAAATTTGTTCCATACTTGAGGTCTGAGATCATTGTGAAAATAAATATTAACTAATTTTGTATAATGCTTTGTGAACACACATAATTTGAGTGTTTTCAATTATTCTAACATTATAATTCAAGGCATTCAACATTATCACTTGATCATTTTCAATAATTTATTCAATAGATGTTTGTTGAACATCCGCCATGAGTGAGGCAGTATAGCTTGGGGTCCCTGCCCTCATGGAATTTATATTCTATTATATAATGAGACACCATTAACACATAAATAAATAAGATAATAAGTATTTGAAAGGAATAAAATGAGGCAATGGGATGAACTAGGAGATATCTTAGTGAAGTTATGGACATATGCTCTACAGAGGAACTCTCTAAGCTGAGACATTACAGATAAGAAAAAGCCAGTCGTCTTATTTATATCACTGAATAATGCTTATGAAATTGTTTTCTAAATTCTAACACATACCACACTACAATGACATTTATCATTAGGAAAATAGGGCCTGTACCATGAAGGGACAATTTCTTACAAATGACATAAGAAGCCTGTAAAATGTAAAGCACAGGAGTTCACCTAGTTGGATGCTTGAATCCTCTTTTCTAATATTTCTTCATTCAACAAATATTTATCAAACACCTACTGTATGCTAACCCTAGCTCTAAGCACTGAGAATATATGGCCAAGAGCAATAGAGCAAGTCTCTGTCCATGTGGAGCTTACACTCTAATGGGGAAGAAAGATAATAAACAAGATGTTTGTTAGTTGGCATTCTGGTCACATTCTTCTAGAAGATCTCTACTTTGTTCCACATAAGTGTAGAATGCAAATGCCTGAGAGCAATAAGGAAAATCAACATTTTTAGATAAAAAATCCTACTCCAAAATTACTGTTTAAATGATATTCCACTGTTCATATATACCGTAATTTATATAACTTAACAACAAATTTTGTTAAATACTATTATTTCATTAAGTGTATACTCTTTGAATACTTTTCAGATTATCTTCTTAGGACAAATTCCAGAGTCGGATTAATGAACAAAGAATATGAATATTTTAAATTTTGATATAATACATGTTGCCAAATAGTCTCTGGAAAGATTATACAAATTTCTATTCTCATCAGAACTGCATGAGAGTGTATTTCCCACACCTTCCTAAACTGTTTTTTTTTTTTTTTTTTAAGGAAAAGCTAATGTTTTCTTTACTTAAATTAATTTAACTGGTTCTTCTTTGGTATATATGATAGTAGAATCCATTTTCATAAAATTATACAAGCATAGGCTATATCTTTTTCTAATTAGGACCCCATTCTTGTGTGTGGGCATAATCTTTATAATTTTGATAAATATTATCAATGAAAAAAGTCCTATTTATCTTTTATTTATAGTTTTTTGATTAATAAAGTTAAAGCTCTTGTTTTTACAGTTATCATCTAGTTTACATTTTATTTTGTTATTTTTCTCCCGAGTTAATTTTTTATTTTCTCACAGATTCTAAGGGGTCTTTGTCAACGAAGACTATTAATCCTCTGTCTGCCCTTATACTGAAGATGTATGTCTCAGTTTGGTAGGGTTTGCCTTTAAGTTTCTCAGTCTGTTCTTTTATGGATTCTTGGTTTTCATACCATAGTTTCCTCACTTCAATGTTATAAAAAATATTAGCCCATGTTTCTATGATTTCTCTGGTTTCATTTTTTTTTAGTATTTGATCTATTTGGAATTTATTTTATGAAATGAATGAGAAAAGGCTCTAGCTTTCCCTTTTTACACATATTCAATAAATGTGCTCCAATATCATCTACTGAATAAATCATCTTCTTCCTACTTATTTGAAATGCCACCTTGATCTTATATTAATTTCTTATGTATTCTTAGATCTATTTCTGGACTCTATTCTGTTCCTCTAATTAGCCTGTCTATTCCATCATGAGAAGCACTCAGCTTCACATCATTTCATAACCAATTTAAATATCTGCTACAGCAAGTCTTTTTCATAAGTCATACCTTCAATGCTATGTCTTCTTGGCACTTTTCAGATGATTTATAAATTGTGGCATACCTAACATTAATAAAAACCAGCTATTTAAAAATGTCTAAAGCTATAAGATACACAGTCATTCATTCTCAAAACATTGCTCAGAACCCTTTAAAATTAATAGCTTGATATTTTTAATGGATCACTTCAAAATAAAACACCAATCCCCCCCAAAAATTCTGAAAACAAATAATAGAAACTGAATTATATCATTAGTAACCTTTTAAACATATGAGACAACATCCTAACTAAAAGTCAAGAGCTCATCAAATACCCTGATTGAAAAAGAAAGGTTTCAAGTAGAAACTCAGCTTCTAGTATCAATGCAACACTTTTCATTATTACATGTTTCTGCCAGCTAGTTTTAGTTTTAAAAGAACATGCACACAAGAATCAGAGTGATTTAATATGTACAGTCTTTCATCAAATGTCTCAAAGGTTGGAGAATATTGGGTAAAAAATATGTTCAACTATGATATTGCTCCACTAACATTTCCATGTGGTTTCTTCTTTGAAAAAGGATGAAAAAGAAAGTCACTTTATTTTTATTTAATAAAGAAGAAATTAATAGAGAGAAGAAATTAAAAACTTTTTATAAGGTTCAGGCAGGTATCCTGAAATGAAAAAGATTTGGATTTGGGAGGCTTCATAGATACAGAATCACAATATGACTTAAGAGTTTCCTTAAACAACTTTTGGCTTTATTTGCCTCTTATGTCTGCCATGTCGCCTCTACCCATTGAATGACACTTAGTAAAAATGTTACTTTCTTTGCAAAACCTCTGACTTTTCTTATATTCCAAGAACAAATCCTACAATTTCCATATTTTCTATAATATCTTGTTTATGCCTCTACTGTCATCACATCCTATCATTATAATTATTTATGTGAGCTCTTTATGGATAGGAAATATATTTATTCATTTTTAAAATCTTAAAACTGTATAAAACAGTGTTTGAAACTTAATGATAAAGATTTAGTGAAAGTTTTTGAATGAATGAAAAGAAAAGCAGCACAGAAGTAATAGTCCTAATCTTGACTGGACTAGTAAAATCACATGTGGGATATTAAATTTCATCTGGGAGTTACTTTGAGACAGATACAGCAAAGCAGAGTTGAAATGGTGACCTGTGGCAAAGAGTCACCCGAGGATCAACTGAAGGAATAGTTCATGACTACTTAGCATGAGAAAAAAAAGTCTCAGAGCCATTTTCTCATCCATGTAGTTATCAAATATCAACAGTATTGTGCTGGAGACATAATCATGATCAAAATGTTGTCCTTGTCCCTTGAAAAGCTTTGGTCTAGTGAAACACAGAAGCCAAACAATCCACTATAATATGCTATGGTAAGGGCTACACCTAGAGAGGTGGTGGGTATTATAGGAGCACCTGGAGGGTTTGTGGAAACGTGCAGAGGAAGTCATCTTTAGGATCCTAAGCAACAGTGTAAAAAGATAAGCAGAAGCCAAAGAGAAAGGAAACTTTGTTTTAGACAGGAAAATGAAAGCATGTATAAAGGCTTGGAGGTGAGCAAAAGGAGTTCTACAAACTGGATTTTTTGGTATGTTTACTGGGTAAAGTTTAAAGAAAAAGTAGTCTAAGAAAGCAGTTGTAGATAGAAGACTGTTCAGATATGAATGCCTCCCACACAATGTTAATGAGAAGCAAAAGTGATGAAGGGCTTGGGGTGCAGTCATTCTGGCTGCAGGGTGAACAATGGACTGGAAAGAAGGGTATGGAGGCTGGAAGACTAGTTAGGAAGCTATGCCATTAATAATATATGTGTGAGATGATAGTGGCTTAAACCAGGAAAATGGCAGAGCAGCAGTGACAAACTAGATCCTACAACTGCTTTCTAATAATCAAGAGACCAGTAAATAAAAAATAGGCTAAACCTGTTTCATACAGCCCTAAAAGTTAGAATGTGACTAATATAAATTACAAAGAAAGAAATTTTTGCCCAATATCTATCTAATATGAAGCAATCTACCTGAGGAGGCTATAAGTCCCCTGCAACTTGTATAGTTCAAGATAAGACATTTTATAAGAAATTCAAAATGTCAAATTTGAAATGCTGGGCCAGAGCAGCATTTCCAACACTGAAGTTCCACAGATCTACTAAATTTTATTTGTTTGATATTTGGGGCTGTTCTCTCTGCCTGATGTAAAAAAAAAATAAAATATGTAGTATTAAGTCATGTCAAAGATAGCGCTATGCCTGTGCTAACCAGTACTCTCATGAGGAAAACTATACTTTCAAATTTTAACATCATTTGTCAACTGATATATTTTATGTGAATTGAGCATCCATGTTTCATAATTCCCTCTCAATAAATAGATTGTTTACATGCCTAAAGCTGTCATTGAACTACAATTATTACTTATATGAGCAACAAAACTAGCAGGAGCTATCACTGTCTTCCCTTGGCATGCCAGACTAGCACAGCATCTCCCATGTTCACTAAAGCCTGAAAAGCAGGTTTTGTGCTCATTATAAAGATAAGAAAATGGGCTCAAAAATATTAAATAATTTGCCTAAAGTTACTAAACTGATAAGTGGGGAACGGGAATTTGAACCAAGTCCTGCCTGATTCCTATGTCTGAGCATTTTCCCACTATTTATTGGCATCTTAGAAATCTTGAAGAAGGTTTTAAGGAGCAATAAAAATAAGTATCATTTCTTTATAAAGTGCCGGGTACTTTTACCTGCATATTTTAATTTCATTAATTTCTTCAGCTTCACTTTTGAATGTCAGAAGATCTGACTTAAAGTCTAGTAAAATCGTTGAACAGAATGAAAGTCAAAACAATCCTCTACAGTATTAGTATCTGAAAGTTTTAAAGGATTTTTGCATGATTTAGTTCATGCCATCTTCTTTACAACGTGTGAAGTAGGCAGAATGGAATTAACCCCATTTTACAAATCAGAAAACTAAGGATTTAAGAGTAACTAAGTGGCAGAGCTGGCTCTCAACACACCCAGGAGGTTCTGACTCTTAGTGTTCTACTTTATGTTATGCTGTGTGTCAGTGGGCAATGGGAAGTATCATGTTATAGGAACAAAAGGCAAGAAAAAGCAAATAGACAATAACAGGCTGAACACATGTAATTACAGTAACAAAATATACCAAAATACCTGAACGGGGGCTGGGATATAGCTCAGTTAGTTGGAAGAATGCTTGCTTTGCATGCACAAGGCCCTGGGTTCAATCCCCAGCACCACACACACACACACACACACACACACACACACAAAATTGAACAAAAATTTCATAAAGGTATCAGGATACCAACATTAAGGTAATACGTAAAAAGATTTTAAAGGATTCTAAGACATTAATATTAATGTTTATGTAAAAACCCTAAAGCTGATTGAGAAATATTGGTATTAGTTTTATTCCTCAAATCCTAATCCTGAAGTATACTATACAGTGATAAAAACCAAAAGAAGTTATCAATCTGACTTGTTACCTGATAACATTTTAATATTTTAGTTTTAATTTAGTTCATACACTTAGAAAATCTTTAGGCTTAATTTCAGTTCAATTTATAATTAATTTCTTTTGGGCAAATCCCACCAAACTTTGGTTTATGACAGTGGAACTTTGTTTAGTTCTAGTTGCAGTGCATTAAGAAGTTACTTCCAGTGGGGCTTAGTTTCCTTTCCTCCTATAGTCTACATAATCAGCCACACCCCCTTCCTTTTTGTTAGCTTTGTCTGTGACCTCCTGAAAAGTAGGACTTGATGTGGCACTGAGATAAATTACATTAGGCAGGTGAGCACAGAGTTCATTGGATTATGAGATGGAGACATGTAGAAGTATCTTCCTAGTAGAGTAAAACTGATTACAATCTTATCCCAGGTTTAGTAATTCCCTTTATTTAGCATAAACAAGAAAAATATCTTACCTAGCTCCAGGATGTCACCAGTTTCTATTAAACAAAAAAATGTTATAGCATAGGTCATCATGATAAACATACTGAAATGGTAGAAAGGTGCAATTCTGGAGTAAAATAGGGGTTTGAAAGTTTGTTTATCTGATTACTTCATTTTAAAAGATACTGAGTTTTCTTAGTTAGTAGCTGCGGCAGTACACTAAACTTTGCCTTTCTCTAGAGACTAAACTAATAAAAACTATGAAAACCTGGAGGGACTGAGCAACAGTGCCTAAAGCTCTAAATATAATTGGGATTATTTATAAGAAATGTATGTTTCCAGATTTTCAGCTCAGAATAAAATGTTACTTTTTATAGACACCTTAATAATGACAATATTTGCTTTTTCTTTAAAAAGTGAGTTATTTATAAACTCAGACTTCTAAGAACAAATGTTTTATGGTAAAAAATGTCAAACAAAACTTTTTCATGCTATATGGCTTTTTTCTTACCTTGATATTGGGATGCAGACTCTGATAGGTGACCATATTTGTATTTTCTAACATCATTCCAGTTTATTACTGCAGGAAGAGAGAAAAGAGTCACGTAGAAAGAAAACACAAGATTCACTACTTCTGAATTTAGCAGTTTCCACTAACAGTTTTTAACTAAGTCATCACTTTTGAGATTGTATTTTAGGAAATAATACAAATAGAGACAAGAATGTTATAATTAAAAAGCTTTAGAACTGCTTATAGTAACAGAAAAGAGGGAACACATAAGCATTCAGAACAGAAGATTGATTCAGATTCAGCTGTGTAACCACTTGGAAAAATATTTTGAAACTGTTAAACTTTTACAAAGGCTAAAGAATAAATGGGAAAATGTTAAATTATAATGTTATTAGGTAAAACAAGGGAATAAAAGTTACATTCATAAAATATCACAATTATACAAAAAAAAAAAAAAAAAAAAAAACTAAAAACAAAGAGCACCCATGTAGGTGAACTGTGCCCTCCCAAATTTCATATTGAAGTCCCCACTCCCCAGTACCTCAGAGTGTGTATTTGGAGAAAAGATCTTTGAAGAGGTAGTTAAGTTAAAATGAGGTCACTGAGGTGGGCCCTAATTCAATATGACTGATATCCTTATAGAAAAAAAAAATTGGACAGGGCCAGAGAAAAGATGGCATAAAGACAGAGGGAAAATATGGCCATCTATACCTTAAGAACAAGAGGCCTCAGAGGAAACCCTGCTGACACCTTGATCTTGGACTTCTGGACTCCAGAATTATGAGAAAATAAATTAGTGTCATTTAAACAAACCATCAACTTGTGGTCTTTGTTATGGCAGCCCTAACAAATGAATACACTTCTTAGAAATTATCACTAAAAAAAAAATGGAAGTAAACACAGCAAATAAATATACGGGGTGGTAGTACTGGATCCCCTTTATAATTTCTAATTATAGAAATTAATCAGATGTAGCTGAGCTTCAGCCCTAGCCCAACAAGTATTTTTAATTCCTCACACAAACTAGAGGAACCTGGAAAGCAGTGCCCAAAGAAGAAAAGGAGAAAACAGCTACATTACAAAATGTACATTGTTTAAATACTGCCACAAATTACTCCGTGTATCAGGAAGTATTTAAACAGTGTACATTTTGTAATGTAGTTGTTTTCTCTTGTATCAGTTCTTAAATGAGAAAACAGCAGCTGATAGAATTTCACACATAATAAAAGAAACCACTTATTTAAAAAATTTTAAAGCATTCTAAGAATAATGGCCATGTTTCAGAGTATACTGTGATATGTAGTTTAATGTAGTATGACATGTATGATACTATTTAATAATCAAATTTATTCCTCTTACACAAGCAATGTCTTTCTTCTCTGGTAGTCCCTTTCCCAGTTAGCAATAACAAGTCAGAAATCTGAAATTCTTCTTAATTGTCTGCTTTTCATTGCTTTTGGTTCTCAAATCAATTGGTTATCCAATTCTGCCAGTTCTACCTCTAAAGTGACCAGCTCCTCTCTCCCATCTCCTGGATGGAATCAGTACAGCAACCTCTGAGCTTATGTATATATTCTTGAACTTGACAAACAGAAAGCACTTTTTAAAAACTCTTTACCAAATTTTGAATTTAGATTTCATTATCACTTCCTTTACTCAATAAAAACAGTTACTTTATTCTTGTGTCTTTTCTACATACAAATCAACATTATTTTTCTAAAATACAGATAAGATAAAATATGTCACTACTCCATTTAAAAGTCCTAAGGGGCTGGGCACAGTGTTGCACAACTGTAATCCCAGCAGCTCAGGAGGCTAAAGCAGGAGGATTGCAAGTTCAAAGCCAGCCTCAGCAATAGTGAGACACTAAGCAACTCAGTGAGATTCTATCTCTGAATAAAACCCAAAATAAGGCTGGGGTTGTGGCTCAGTGGTTGACTGCCCCTGAATTCAATCCCCAGTACCAAAAACAACAACAACAACAAAAAGTCTTTAAGGATCATACCCTATACTGTGACCAAACATATAACCATATTCCTACTTCTCTCTTCCAGATATTTCTGTTTATTCCTCAAGATCTAGGACAAATGTTACTTTGTAAAAATTTTCTGGTAATGCTTCTAAGAAAAGTATTAGCTCAACCTTGTACCTTTATGCCTATCACAGAATGCTACATCTAAATACTTACTAAGCCAGTATGTATTCCTGGAACTTGACACACAGAAAGCACTTTTTAAAAAATCTTTTTACCAAATTCAGAAACAGTTATGAGTGAGAGAAAAGTTATACATATGAATAAGTCAATATTTCAATGATGCTCTCATCAAAACTATTGTAATATAGAGAATGGTACTTAACTAAAGAAACCACTAACGTTGGATAGCAGTTATTTATGTTAACTAAGAATAACAAAAAACAGAGCATCTAAAACTGCAGATGATATAAAAGTCATTCATATTTAGCTTTATCTTAATTTTTTACAACAAATTTACTATTTCAATCATGCTAGGTTAATATTAAAAATGAAATTACTATTATTTAATGGGTAGAGTTTTATGTTTTGCAAAATAAAAAAAATGATCTATAGATAGATGGGACTGATGGTTCCATAAGTAAATGTTTTTTTGAATTTTCTGACCAGAAATGCCACGGAACTGTACACTTAAAAATTAGTTAAAATGGAGAGCTGGTGATATACCTTAGTAGCAGAGTGTTTATCTATGTGTGAGGCACAGGGCTCAATTTCCAGCACTAAAAAAATTAAAATGGTAAACTTTGTTATGTATGTTTTGTTATAATTTTAAAAATTAATCTTAAAAATGAAATTTTCATTCATGGATGTCAGGGTAAGGTAAAAGCTCAGAGGTTGCTGTACTGATTCCATTTCAGATTTAACTAAAATCTAACATTATAGCAGGCCAGAGCCAGTCATTTTCATATCTATCACCTCAGGTATTATCAATATCTTTTTGAAAATGAGAAATCTGGGGCTCAGTAAGTTTAATAGTGTCATGGAGGGGAAGATGTAGTGCAGGAAAAAGCAATGAAAGATATATAATAATGGTCCAAAAAGGGAGTAAATCCACAATGAAAAATGGAATTGAAGCAACAATGTGAATCCTGCTTAGGAAGATTCATTCATTTAATAAATACTTATCTGGTATTTGTCAGTCATGATTCTAGATACTGCATATATATCACTGAACAAAAACTGCATTCTACTGGGGTTCTTACCAGGGGTTTCACAAAACGTCATCTTTTGATTGGAGGTATTTGAAAAAGCATTTATTGCAGGGAAGCAGATGTCAGAGACTTTCTGGCAATGAACTTTCCTGTGGAAGCAGAAAGGCTGGGTGACCACTCATCATCAAATGTGTAAACTTTCCTAAGCTGAGAGGGAATTTATGGGTTGGAAAAAAAAAAAAACTTCTAAGATTCTATTAAACTTTGGGATTCTTGTTCTCTAAGTAACAAATAATATTATGGGAGCTGAGGTAGTAGCAATGAATCTATATCCCATGTGTATATATTTATGTTTGATTAAGCACATGTGTTTATCTTATTAACTATTCATAAACCTGTATTAATTGATATTTTCCTTTATATCTTACATATCAGAATCAATTAAATGAATGAAAGAGCACTTCCTATTCTATATTGTTCAGTTTGACATTTAAATCTCATTTCCAACTCAATGTTTTCAAAACAACTCTAAAGTCTTTGCTACTTCCTTACTGAAATCACATTCATAAGGAGAGAAGATGGCAGAGTAGAGGCGGTTGCTTTCCAAGCTGCTCCATGGTGGGAGACCAAGAAAGTGGATAAATAGCTTCTCAGTGAGATAGATGAAAGTGGGATTTTCCTGGGATTCAATTCTGAACACTCAGAACAGCTTGGGATATATTAAAATAAAGAAGGAAGCCCACCACCACTGTCAGTGGCTGCCAGAACTGACCACTGTGAGCAAAGCAGGGAGGGGGACTAAGGAAACATGCATTGTAGGTGGCATTGTGGCATCTGGTACAGAGAAATCAGAGATCAAGGACACTGTTGACGGATCCAGAGGGTGTGCTACACTATATCCTCCTATAGGAAAGACGCCTACTGTCTTCCGGTTGTCTACAGAGAGCTGAAGCAAGAGCTACCTTGCCATGAGGCTGTGGCAGCTGTGAGGAGCAAGTTTAGGAGCCTAGACCTGGGAAATCTGAGCTGGGTCTGAAAAACAGACCTGGTAGATGCCTGTTGGCATGACCCAGAGTATGCCTAGGAGAACAGGAGAAAAATCAGGCAAGGACAGTGTTTTATCCCGGGGAATATGGGTCATAGAGACCTTAGAGCCTGGTTCCATTGACACTACAGCAGATGAAATGCCTCTGTTTTGGTCAGCATTTTTGATGCTGTGACTAAAAGATCTGACCAAAACAAATTTAGAGGAGGACCAAAACAATTTTAGAGGAGGAAAAGTTTATTTGAGGTATTAGAGTTTCAGAGATCTTAGTCCATAGAAAGCCATCTCCATTCCTCAGGGCGTAAGGTGAGGCAAATCATCATGGCTAAAGAGTGTGGCAGAGGGAAGTGGCTCACATGATGATCAGAAAGCAGAGAGATCTCCACTTGCCAGATACAAATATGTACCCCAAAGCCACACCCAATGTCCCACTTCCTCCAGCCACAACCCACCTGCCTTCAGTTACTACTCAATTAATCCCATAAGGTGATTAATTCACTGAGTGGGTTAAGACTCTTACAATCCAATCATTTTTGCTCTGCACCTTCTTGCATTGTCTCACACGTGAGCTTTTGGGGAACACCGCACATCCAAACCATAACAGCCACAGAAGGAATTTAGAAAGTTCATAATTAAACTGATCTATGAAGTAAAAGACGCAGGATGTAAGGAGTGAAATCAGAGAGAAAACACAAGAAGTAAAAAATTACTTCACTAAGGAAATAAAGATTCTGAAAAAGAATTAATCAGAAACCCTTGAAATGAAGGAATTAATAAACCAAAATAAAAAGTCAACCAAAATCATCAGCAACAGATTAGAACACTTAGAAGATAGAGTTTCAGGCAACAAAGACAAAGTATATAATCTTGAAAATAAAGCTGACATAGGACAAAAGATGTTAAGAGATCTGCCCATGCTGGCCTAGACGGGACCCAGGCTCACAGTAGGCCTGGGTCCATCCTGCCATTGGCAGACACCCACCAGAGCCCAGCTCCCTTCACCCCTTCCAACTGGCAGACTATTAGGAGAGCTCAGGCCCAGTCCAGATCTGCCCTCACTGACTTGCAAGGGACCCAGGTCCAGAGTAGGTCTGAGTTCACCCCCCCACCCCCACCTGGGATCCTAAGCCTAACCCACCTTTTTTTTTTTTTTTTTTTTTTGAGTAGATCTACTTTTTCAACTGTAAATTTCTTGTAATCTAAATATAGATCAAATATTTTTGATAAAACTTGGTATCTGATTTAAGATATGCTGTAAAACAGAAACCAGATTTCAAAGATTTTTGCAGTATATATTTTTGTACTGGTTACATATCAAAATAGTATTTTAGATATATAAATAAAATACATTTCTAAATTAATTTTGCTTATTTTTACCTTTTTTAATGTGGCTATTATAAAAAATTAAATTATATATGTGGTTTGCATTAATTGCTCTTGGGCAGTACCATGTTGGACAATTACAATTCAGTGAAGCTAGGGAATAAGATATATGGGTGGATAAGAGAAGGAGGAAGTGGTCAACATTAGTGGCCATAGTTTTTACTAAAATGGAGAAAGCAGAGTTACAATAAGAACCAACAATGGGCAAAGAGGGGAGGTGAGGAACAGAGGACAGAATATACTGATTAAATATTTTTTTCATGTGGCTCGGTTGTTCCATCTTCCTAATAACTAAGACTCCCAACTATTTCAGGAATAAAGGTAGGATAGGCTTTTGAGAAAATAGCATGATTTTAGTGTGAAGCAGAAGGGCAAATGTGACTTAATCCCAAAGAAGACAAATCACCCAAATTATAAGTCCTGAGTAAGGCATAAGAAAGGGTAAGGCACAATAAACTAGAAAACGTTGTTATGGGCCCAAAGTGACAGGGCTAAGCAACCACAGACTGAAACCTCTGAAACCATGAGTCAAAAAAAAAATCTTTCCTCTTTTTAAGCTGATTTTTCTTAGGTATTTTGTCATAGTGACACAAAGTTGACAAACACAGAAAAATAGTACTGAGAGTGGGGTCATTGCTGTGACTATACCTGACCATGTGGTTCAGAAGCCCACAGAATTGGGCTGCAGGAGGAATTTGGAAAACTCCAGAGAAGTGGGCCAGAAAAAGCCTAGAATACTATAAGTAGAGCTTCAAGGGAGATTCTGGTAAGAACTCAGAAGAGAATGCTGATGGGAATGCAGGGAGTAAAAGACGTGTGCTTATAAGCTTTCAGATGTACGTAAGGAATCTGTTGGGAATTAAATTGGACTAGAGGCCATATGTGTTACACTGTGGTAAACATTTTGCCTATGTCCTGTAATTTTATGTAAGGCTGAGTTTAAAGGTATGGACTAATAAATCTGAAGGTGGAAATTTCAAAGCAAAATAGCAGTCATGGTATATCATGAGTATTGCTGGCTGCTTTCAGACAGGTTTAATGAAAATCAAAAGTAAAAAACAGAGAAGCGGCTGCAGCACCGAGAGGAGGCAGAAGGCAGATAAGAGAAGCCGATGGGTGGGCACCATGGCCGGGATCACCACTGTTGAGGCAGTGAAGCGCAAGATCCAGGTTCAGCAGCAACAAGCAGATGATACCAAGGAGAGGGCTGAGCATTCTCCAGCGGGAAGTTGAGGGAGAAAGGCGGGCCCGGGAACAGGCTGAGGCTGAGGTAGCCTCCTTGAACTGAAGGATCCAACTGGTTGAAGAGGAGCTGAACCATGCTCAGGAGCGCCTTGCTACTGCCCTGCAAAAGCTGGAGGAAGCAGAAAAAGCTGCTGATGAGAGTGAGAGAGGTATGAAGGTTATTGAAAACCGGGCCCTAAAAGATGAAGAAAAGATGGAACTCCAGGAAATCCAAATCAAAGAAGCTAAGCACATTGCAGAAGAAGCAGATAGGAAGTATGAAGAGGTGGCTCGTAAGTTAGTGATTATTGAAGGAGACTTGGAACGCACAGAGGAACCAGCTGAGCTGGCAGAGTCCCGTTGCCGAGAGATGGATGAGCAGATCAGACTGATGGACCAGAATCTGAAGTGTCTGAATGCTGCTGAAGAAAAGTACTCTCAAAAAGAAGACAAATATGAGGAAGAAATAAAGATTCTCACTGATAAACTCAAGGAGGCAGAGACCCGCACTGAGTTTTCCGAGAGATCGGTAGCCAAACTGGAAAAGACAATTGATGATTTGGAAGATAAGCTGAAATGCACCAAAGAGGAGCACCTCTGTACACAAAGGATGCTGGACCAGACTCTGCTTGACCTGAATGAGATGTAGGGCTCCCCAGTCCTGCCCTGCTACTGCTCCTCCCTCTGACCCTGACTCCGCCTGAGGCCAGCCAGCCCGAAGCTGACCTTGAAACTGAGGGCTGATCTTTAACTGGAAGGCTGCTTTCTCCTTTCAACACCCCCTCGACCCCCTACCCCCTTGTCTTTTTCACCAAACTGTGTCTGCTTCTTCCCAGAGATTCCAGCTGGGCTAGAGGCTGAGCACCTTTGGGAACAGCATTTAAGGGAATGTGAGTACAACGCAAAGTGTCTTTAAAAGCATGTTGTGATGTACACATTTTGTAATTACTTTTTTTGTTGTTATAGTAACCATTTGTAAAACATTACAAATAATTTCATAGCTCTGAAGCAGCAATCTAATTCCCTTCTCACTTTTGGAAGGTAACTTTCCAGCCTAGTCCCTATTGCCCTCTCCATAGAGGAGGAAAAGAGGAATGGGCCTGCCTTACTGAGAGCCAAACAGAGCCCAGGGAAAGACTCTACTATGGCAAACCTCATTGCTCTGTGCAAAGTACCAGCCAAACCAGAAAGGTGATCCCAAGAGGAGTTCGCCAAAAAACAAAAACCTTGCTATTCAGGTTTTGTTTCATTTTTAGCTTTAAGGTATCTTTAGACAACTGTATTCTTATTTTTTACTTTTTTTCATCAGAAATGACCAAATTAACATGATGAGACCTCTGAGACTTTTTGTTTTTCTGGTGCTGGGGATTGAACCCAGGGCCTCGTGCTTGTTTGGCAAATGCTCTACCACTGAGCCATATTCTTAGCCCTGAGAGCAAATTTTTCTCCCATCTCTACCCACTTTCCAAGTGTTCACAGAATGGATCATGGGCCCCTTAATCTTGCGTGACCACTTAATTGCTCTCCTGCTTGCTTGAAAGAAAAAAAAAGAAAGAAAGAAAGAAAGAAAATTATGTTTTGGCCACTGATTTAGCCATATGAACTCATCTCATCACCCTTTTCTGGGTCTGAAGCTGCTGTATCTAAAAGTGCCATCTCATTGTGCTTTGTATCAGTCAGTGTTGGAGAATCTTGAATAGCTTATGTACACAACTTTTAAAATTTTATATTATTGTGAAACTGCATCTTTGGGGTGGGGTACCTGGCCACCTCGTCTGGCTGTGAGAGTCCTGCAGTCTGGGCTGGCAGTGTGCTGATCTTTCAACGTTTCTTTCCCAGCCCAATCCCCACTTTTTTAGGTGAGGTTTCGTGAGGTCTGTTAGGTGTACATCCTGCAGCTTACTGGCTTAAAATGTATTCTCCTTTGTTGTGGTCTCTTTGGGGCCAGTTGGGAGAAAGACAAACAATAGTCCAACTGTTTTGATACTGAATATTGACAAGTGTCTTTTTGAAATAAAGTCCCTCCAAAAAAAAAAAAGTAAAAAACAGATGGGAATTTTTGTTCTTGTTGTTGTTACTAGGAATTAAACCCAAGGGTGTTGTATCACTGAGCTATATTCCCAGTCCTTTATTTTTATTTTTTTTAAATTTCATTTTAAGACAAAGTCTCATTTAAATTGCTGAGACTGGCCTCAAACTTGTGATCCTCCTGCCTCAGATTCCCAAGTAGCTGAGATTATAGGCATGCGCCACTGTGCTGGCTGAGAAAAAAAAATTTTTTTTTTTTTAAAAGCAGCTGAACAAGGCTTTATTGCGATTCACTCTTGGGTGAGACCCTCCAGTTGACCAGAGCCGATCCAGGAGAATCGCCTGAGCAAAAAATTTTTTGAAATTTGTTCAGCCAGAGAAGTGCATGCAAAGTTTTGGCTAAGGTGGGTGTGGTTGCTAAAGTTATTAGTTCCATTTTAAAAAGCTAAGCTTGGCATACCTACTGGCCCAGTTACTTGGGAGGTTAAGGTGGGAAGATTGCTGGGGCCTAGCTTGGGCAACATCGAAAGACCTTGTCCCTTAAGGACAATGGGGAAGGAGGAGAGAGGGAAGGAGAAGAATCCAAACACTCTGCACCAGGAAAATAAGAAAGTTGCCTTGAAGGCATTACAGGAATTATCAGTAACTCACCCATCCTAGACTCAAGAGTGTAGAGTAGAAACTTATTTAAAAGACCTGCTTGAGAAGAGAACCTCCCCCAGGCACATTTTTTTTTCCCCATAGGGCTACATAAGGAATTGTTTCTTGGATTAATTTCCCCTTGTTCAATTATCCAAGCACACAGAGGTGGCTGCAGCTGTGGTCCAAACAGACCCAGTTCCTGGAGGCAGACCTTAGTGTTATCCAGGAGATGCTGGTTTTTATTTTGTTTTGTTTTGGTACCAGGGATTGAACCCAGAAATGCTTAAACACTGAGCCACATCCCAGCCCTTTTTATATTTTATTTAGAAACTGGGTCTCACTAAGTTGCTTAGGGCCTCACTAATTTGCTGAGGCTGGCTCCTGACTTAGCCTCCTGAGTGAGGCTTACAGCCTGCACCACCATGCTTGGCATGATGCTGGTTTTTAGGTGAGGAGAATGCAAGGGTTGGGTTATGAAGGTTTCCACTGAGAATTCAAAGGAAAGTGTGGGAAGCCAGGCAGAGCATAGCAGGGTCAGAGATCTTGCAAGTAGCTCCTGAAAGGGAAATAAATGAAGTCGTGAGAATGAGACTGAAGTTGCACTGGAGATCCCAGGAAATTAGAGATGTCAGGAATGTGGAGCATCTACCAAGGAAAGCTTCAGACACAGAGCAGAGTCAACCAAACCGTTGAGTCCATGTGGGCTGCAGCCAGCAAGACTAAAGGGGACAGGTCTGCTCAAGCTTTCTGGATCTTATATTGTACCTTTGTGTGCCCTGTGTGCTGGTCATGGAGCTATAGGATTTTATGTTTGTCCTATTAGATTTGTCCTGCTTTAGTTCCATTCCTTTTTTTTTTTTTTTACCCCATTCTTTCTTTTTTGGAATGGGAACTTTTACCATATGCTTGTCTTATCACTGTATGTTGTAAGTATGTAACTTTTTATTTTATTTTATGGGGGTTCACAGCTAAGAATATGTTTTGAGCTCAGAGAAGATTAAGACATTTCAGCAGTGTTGGAATTGTTAAAACTTTACTGACTGTTGGAGATGGACTGAATGCATTTTGAATCATGAAATGGACATTAGCCTTTGGGACCTTTAGGAGGTAGGGCCTAGGTAGAGGAAATAGGTCACTGGGATCATGCCCATGAAGAATATATTGGGACTCCATTCCTTTCCTCTGTTTCTCCTTGCTTCCCAGCTACGAAAAGCAACTTTGCTTTACTACATGCTTCCTATCACGATGTTTGAAAGTTTTACCATGTACCCAAAGTGACAGGTCCTAACGACCATGGACTGAAACCTCTGAAACCATGAAGCAAACTAAGTATTTTCTCCTTTTAAGCTGATTTTCTCAGATATTTTTGCACATATATGGAAAGCTAATACAGTTTCTTAATCCCTCTTACCTCTACGATAGCATAAAAGAACTTACCAGTAGGCTGCATAATCAATGAACTAAAGACTGCTTAAGGAGTTATGAGGTTTGGGATTTATCCCTGGATCCGCCAATATCTTGCTCTGACTTCTGACAAGCCAATTTCTCCGTATGTTATTTTCTCCATCTGCAAAGTTGATGAGGGGAGAAGAAGGAGGATAGTTATTAACCTGACTGAGACCTTTACATATTAACAAACTGGATGAGGGTATAAGAAAAGTAGTACATTTGATATATATTTTTTTCTATTAAAATATCTCAAGGTTGGAAGTTACTTTATAGCAAGTATCACTGATACAACTTAAGACTCTATATTCACAAAAATAAATACAGATATTTGCTACATTTGGTACCATGCAAATACTGAGTATAAACATTATTTCCAACTAACCAAGTTATGCCATAAAATAAAAAAATACTAAAAATGCCATTCATATGTTGAAGCCCTAATCCCCAATTTGACTGTATTTGGAGACAGGGCTTCTAAGGGGATAATTAAGGTTCAATGAATTCAGAAGGGTGGGACCCAAATCTAACAGGGTAAAACAAACAAACAAAAATCCACCACAAGAAAAACACCACGATGAGGACACAAAGAAGGTTCCATCTGCACGCCAAGGAGAGGGGGCTCAACAGAAACCAATCTTGCTGGCATATTAATCTTGGATTTCCAGCCTCTAAAACTTTTAGACTATAAATTTGTGTTACTTAGGCCACTCATTCTTTAGTATATTGTTATGGTGACCAAAGCACATGGTTAAAGGCCAGATGAGACTGCAGCAATTCTTTGAGAGTGCCTCAGAATTTTCTAAAGAACTTTCACTATTTTCCTGTACCAGTCTGAGGCAGTAAAGCAAGAACAACATCCACAAAAATATTAATTTTTTAAAAAAAGGAAGACACTGAATCCGAAGTTAAAATTTTAATCTGATTTGAACAACTATATTTTCCTTTACAGACTGATTTTCCTTTAGGACTTTATGCAAATAACTACACTGAAATTCAGCTTGCTTTGCAACGAAAATTGGGATGATAACCCCAATGCTACCTGCTTTACAGGGTGAAAATTCCAAATGAGAAAATGGCTTTATTTTGTTTGAGCATTATAGTTATATATATATAGTTGAGTTCATTTTGACAAAATCATACATGCATGGAATTTGATTTCAGTCCCATTCCTCCACCTTTTCTTTTCCCTCCTCTCTCCCCCTAATATCTTTCATCTACTCTAATGATCCTCTTTTCACTCATTTATTTATTTTTAATTTGTTCTTTGTACTTAACATAAAGGTGAAATTCCTTATGGGATATTTATATGTGCACATAATTCTGTTAAGTTCATTCTGCATTTCCTCCCCTTTCTTGTCCCTCCTCCCTCCCTTTCAATACCATCTTCTACTCTACTGATCTTCCCTATATCTTTATGATATCTGATCCTCTCCTCCTTCTTTCCCTTATTTTGCTCTAACTTCCACATATGAGAGAAAACATTTGACCCTTGATTTTCTGAGACTGGCTTATTTCATTTAGCATGATATTCTCCATTTCCATCCATTTACCAGAAAATGCCATAATTTCATTCTTCTTTATAGTTGAGTAAAACTCCATTGTATATATACTGTACATTGACAAAATGGCTTTAAAAGTATATAATGCAGATAACAAGTATTATTAGGGGAAAATGTGGTTTATTACCTTTCCCACAAGAAAAACTCAGATCCTGAATAGTACAATATACTTAACAAAAGGGACTGTCAAACTCCTGTTACTAGTTAACCCCTGAGAACTCAACTATTCACAATCTCAGTAACTACTCTACATAATATCTGTTAGAACTACTTCTATTTTGCCTATTCTTCCTTTGACTTCCTTTTACTGTTGATTGGGACCTTCACAAATTATGGTAATCCAGTCTTCCTACAGGAAGTGAAAGTGTATTTACTTTAAAAAAACAGAAATGATACTAAGAAGTTACATAAAAAAGAGTTATCTGAATCCTCAAAATAAGATATTCAGAGCCCTCAAATATTAAGAGAGTAGGATCTATATGACCTCAGAAAATATATCCTCTTTGGTTTTTCAGGAAAGAACACAAGAGGATAGACAACTAATATCTAAAGCAGTGCTGTGCCACAATGACAAAAATGTTCTATATCTGTGTTGTCTAATGGGCTATTCGGCACTAGAAATGTGGCTCATGGATTGTCCTAAAGAGTTGTACTTTTTATTGCATTTTTATTAAATTTAAATAAACACATATGGCTAGTGGCAACTGTATTGAACAATATAGATCTAGAGAATATAAAGTTCTGGTATTTCTAGAAATTTTTGAAAGATAATATGTGATAGAAAAATTAACAATACTATAGAAGCATTCTTTCAAAATGTGACAAAATAATCACAACTGGCCATCCCTTAAATCAAGGAAAAGTAGAAAGAATTATTTGTGTATTATATTAAGAAAAATGTAGTTATAAATTTATTACTTGTATACTGCTATGGTTGGATGTGAGGTGTCCCCCAAAAGCTCCTATATTAATGCATGAATATTCAGAGGCAAAATGAAATGATTAGATTATGAGAGCTATAATTATATCAGCTTATCCTAGTTTGAATAGATTAACTGGGTAATAACTGTAGGCAGGTGGGGTGTGACTACAGAAGGTGAGTCACTGGCGGTGTGCAGAAGTGTTCATATTCCTTGTGGCCCCTTCCTCTGCTCTCTGGCTGCCATCAGCAGAGCAGTTTCCCTCAGCCACATTCCTCTCTGCCATGATGTTCTGCTTGCCTTGGGCCTAGAGCAAAGGAGTGAGTTGACTATAGACTAAATCTCTGAAACTATGAGCCAAAATAAACCTTCCCTCTTCTAAATTGTCCTTGTCAGGTATTTTTGTCATAGCAATGAAAAGTTGATCAACATATATTAATAATTATCATTAACATCATATAGCTATAATTTTTAAGTGTTTATCATGTGCCAGAGGTTAGGCTAAGTATTTCAATGATAGCATCTTACTAAATTTTCACCATGTAGCATGGTATTATTATTATTATCTCTTTTTACTAATGAGGAGATGATACCTAGAAAGGTTGAGTAATTTTCTAAATGGTTACAATAAGTAAAGAAATTAGGATTTGGGCTGGGGTTATAGCTTGGTGGTAGAGCACTTGCCTAGCACATGTGAGGCACTGGGTTTGATCCTCAGCACTATATAAAACTAAATAAATAAAATAAAGGTACTGTGTCCACCTACAACTAAAAAGAAATATATTTTAAAAAAAGAAGTAAGGATATGAACCTAAACTATTCTTTCACCTATTCTGTCTCCCATTCCTGTGCCTCCCCCTGACCGTCACCACACTATAAACAAAACAAACAACAACCAAAAAACCCTACTCACACAAAGAAACCCTACAAATGCTTTCTGTTTAAAATAGCCCAGTTTGGGAGAGAATACATGTGAATGTGGATAATCTACTCATTTTATTACAGTAAAAACGGAAGTGTTAATGCTTATCAGCTTGATCTGGACATTGAATAAGATTAGGCAATAATGGAATTTAAAGAGGTAAAGCTAGGTTAAATGTAGGCACCATGTGTTAAATAGTTTAGAACTTAGAAATTTTTAAAAAACACAAATAATTCAAGTTTGCATGCACATACAAATGGGGTGGAGGAAAGAAAGCACAGAAAATAATAGAAAAGGAAGGATGTTTCCCCTAGAAATTAAACTGAATAACAGAAAAAAAAAAGAGAGATTCATCAAACAACTTCTGAAGACCCACTAAGAAAGAACTTTTTCAGTGATAAACCACAATTCTATGTCAATATGTACAGAGCTCAAAATGGAAGAGCTGCAAATAGAACACGTGCTCACTGTGGTCATGGAGGACAAGCTACAGGGAGGCAGGGGACAGGGGACTACTATAGAATGCAGCACTGATCAGCTTCTTTCTCTCATTAGGAAGTATTCCTAGTGCTCCCCAGCTGATTCTCTGCCTCCAAATCTTCTTCATTTACTTTTACTTCATTTGGAGATAAGTGTGATGAGATGTAATATTCCTCTGGGATGATCTGCTAGGAAGTGGGTGGGTGAGTGGGGATAACTAGGCAATCCCTTTTTCAAAGACAGCAATAAATTCTGTCTTTTCCATGTAGCAGATGTGAACAAAGAAGATGAAACAGAGCTCCCCTTGGCATTTTCCCTCCCCAATTTGCTCTGCAGTAATTATACATCTCTATGTATGAATACAGAGAGAAGAATCCCACAGAATATCAATATTGCCTTTAACAAGCAAGGCAGCTAGCAATGAATGACTAATGAAAATATAGAGGCCAAAATTCCCTTTGTTCTACAGACCGTCCTAAGTAGACTTTAACCATGTAAAATGTTCACTCTTTCCAGAGGTTTACATTGGTGTGATCCAGAGCACAAAAGTTGATGCTTCTTAGAATGCTCTGGCTTAAACAGAGAAGTCACTTAGTGGTTCCAGTTGTGCCGTATTATACTTTCAGATAGGCATACATAGATCTGATATCATGCAATATGTAAGGTTACATCATCATCATCTTTCTAGTTAGTATATGGGGTGGGTATTTTTAGGCTGGCCTGAACTCAGTCTTCCTGCCCCAGCCTCCCAAGTAGCTGGATTACAAGTACATGCCACTATGCCACCAGATTGTTAGTATTTATAATAAAAGAGATGACAGTCCTGAATGTTATACTCTCTGCCAATCAGAATACATCAGAGGTAAAATTTTTAGTACAAACCTAGGTCCTATACTCTGAATGAATAGTTGCACAGTGTTGTTTGTGATAATGAAAACAGAACTCTGATTCAGAATTTCACTTCAAAGGTGAAATCCACTTTATAATTGATTTATTGTATGCAACCCTGTCAAAAACTGAGAAGTATTTGTGCATGCTTGTGTGTGTGTGTGTGTGTGTGTGTGTGTGTGTAACACCAATATTCTCTCTGAAGATTTACAGAAATGTGATATGAGGGCAGAAAAAATAGCAACAGCAACTGTACCAGTGGCAGCTCACAGTGTTCCAGTCTGTTTTCTGCTTCTTCATCTATAACTTATCAGTACTATGGTAGGCACTTTACATTCCTTATCTCTTTGGTCCCTTTTAAATTATATCATGTTGTGAGTCTATGGGGCACTAGCAGCAGGGCCCAGCTCAATTATTTCCTCCATATCTACCACACAAAACTTGTCAGATAGTCTTTTTTGAAATAATGAACAATGTGTACCTGCTTTATTTACAGTTCTGAAAAGTAAGTATAAATGGAGTTTTAAATAGAAAATAAAGTATGTTTTGAGGATATCAAGATGGTCAATAAGATAAAAAGGAATCTATAAAAATAATTCAATATTTACTGGAAAGTAATCAGTTCTATTATACCACTTTGTCCTCTACTTAAGGTAACCAGGTCAATGTCACACTGAGTCCTTTCTTTCATACTTGGTAATCAGTCTGCTGGTATAAACTGCATCCTCCTAAAAAAGGTTTGGAAATAATACTAAAAGTTTGATTAAAGTTTGATTATAGTTAAGGTATTTAGTATAATGCATCCTTCTCCCAGTTTCTAATCCAACCAACTTTAGCCAATGCTTGAATTTTCTAACATCCCTAAAAAGGTTTTATGCTTATACTTCCTGTAATGAAGATCTCATACCTCCCCAGAAAATTCCTTCCTTTTCTGGCAGTGGATCTTGGCCTTAAGGTAGTGGTTCTCAATTTTTTTCTCTTTCAATGACTCTTAATACATAAAATAACCCAGCATACTTCTATTAATAATAGTAACTTCACACAATATCAGACTTTTAACAGGGTGAGATAGTGATGGAAGGCAACTTTCCCTTTTCACTTAGTATACTTCAAATGGCAAAATTTTCAGAGTGCATATGTATTACTTTAACATACACACAATATGCATACATTTTTAAAAGTAGCCCAAGGGGGTGAATGTTTATCATAGCAGTCATATGGAGTTGGACAGAAATCAGTCCCCATAAGAGGGCAAAACAGAATAAAAGGGAATGGTGTGTATTATGATTCAACATCTTTACTAACCCTAATTTACATGGGATGCAGATGTGTATGTTTTGGGGATTGTGGTCACTGAATGCCCTCTATCTCCTTTAAAGTCATAGCTTGTCTCTGAGTTGGTTATACCAATCTTCAGGTATTTAAAGACAGCTTTTAAGTATGAAAGAAAAGTTAACTGCTTTCTGGTCTTGTCAAGACTACATTCAATGACTGACTATAACATGTCTCAATGTATAATGTATCTGTTTTCTTTTCCTCCCATTCTGCCTAATACATAGTATACTCTTCGAATTAGACATCCTGCCTCCCTAATATTATTCTTCTATGGTCTATTTTCACTTTTTCATGTTTGGAAGCACACTTCCTAATTTCTTGGACTAAGTACTGTACTCGAAGCTTATGGGTATATTTTTTTACAAAATCTATCTAGATATTTCCTCTTTTATTATGAAGACTCTGCAGCTAGACTGCCTAGGTTCAGATTTGGTTCTATCATTTACTAGTATAAAATCTTGGCTAATTAACTTAATTCCTCATGCCTTAGTTTCCTTAACAGCAAAATAAAAACAACAGCAATTATTTCATATAACTTTTGACTAGTTTTAATTGCATTATAAGCACTCATGCTTTACTAATTCATGTTCCTTTTCTTTTCATACCTCTGTTCAAAACCTTACAGCAATGTTGGAACATTTTTTTTTTCTGTAAAGTGCTGGGGAGTAAATATTTTCAGTTGTATGAGTTACATTGTCTCTATTGCAACTACTATCACATGAAAGCAGTCATACATAAATAATTCATTAACAAATGAATATGGTTCTGTTCTAATATTTTTAGTTAAGAGTTAATTAACAAAAACAGGTAGCAGGTAGGAGATGGTCTCTGGATGACAGTTTGCCAACCCCTGACCTACAGGAATCTATCCCTAAATAATGTATCTGGCTCTAATCATTCCACTGTTATACCTCAGGTATACACTATATTGTTTTACACATATTTATAAACTTCTAGGTATTTTATTTTAGTCTGCCACTTAGAATAGTGTACAGATTTAAAGAGCTGTAGCTGTTATTTTATTCATTAAGCAAATGTATTTAAGACTAATAGTAATATGTGGTGTTAAGAATACAAAGACAAGTCTCAGCTCATGCTCACAAACAATCAGAAGGAGAGGCAGCAATTCAAATACACAGTCTAATGTAATTTTTACTATTCTTATAGTAAAAATTTGCTAAACACAATGCTCCAGGAAGTAGGATAAAATGACCAACTTTACCTAGGAAGTTGCGAAAAGCCTCACAGAAGAGATGAAGTTAAGTTACAATTGTGGAAAGAAAGATGACTGGCATTTTACCAAGAGAACATAGTACAAAGGTACTAAGGCATGGAAATGGACAGTATGTTTGGACAACAGCTAGCCATGTATTATAGAGAGAAAAGGATATGGGAAGCTACAAAGATGAATGACAAGAATTGAATAAGATGAAGCTAGGAAAGAAGGTAGGGGGCAACTCTTGAAGAACTTTGCCATTCTAAGACAATGTTATATTATATATGGAAGACTCTAGTATCATCCCTAAGATTGCATATTAAGCATTCAATGTTAAAATCTGGTTCACTAATGATATTTTACACCCATAAAAGCATTTTTCCATAGATTTATACCTACTTTTTTTTCTAATTTCATACAGCTTGCTTACTTACATACATACTTAAATTACATATACACTAAAATTCTAATACTGATTAAGAACTTGTGATGTATGAGAATAGTAAGATTTAGAGACAAAAACAATCTGGGATTAAGCCTTGAACAGTTAAGATTTATAAGATTTGAAGACGTCTCTTAACTCATCATTGTTTCCATAAAATAGGATTACCAATAGTACCTATTTTAGATTATCGTGAAGACTATATGAGAAAACCGTATGGAGAATAGTTCACAAGCTATAAAGAACTGTATAAATGAAACACAGGATTTGTTAAAACTATAAGATAAATTCATAAGAAAGGATGAATTTTTAAAAAATCATTCTGGGTATTTTGTGTGTGTGTGTGAGATATGTACATTCATACACAGCCTAACAGAGGATAAGTCTATTTCTGTCATGTGCACTTACAGGCTCTGACCTTTTCAAGGATCTGGTTTTTGTATAATACGATCAGCTATACCAAATAGAAAATCATTCTTCCTTATTAGCATGATGAAGAAATCTAGAAGATAGAAAAATAGAAATGTGAACTACTGTAGCTCAAAGGAGACATGCAATAAAATTAAGTTTTTATCAAAGGAAGTCATCAGACCAGATACCCAGAATGAGCTTCCCAAAGGCAACAATTTGGTTAGCTTTCCAGTTTCCAGGATTCTTCCCTCAGCTTAGTGGGTTCCAAACCCTGATTCTGTTAAAAATGGAATAGACCTTTGAGGACAGATCTATAGGTAATTAAACAATGATGAGTAAACTAAAATGATAATTTATTAACTTTTGTGAAAATGTAACTTTCACAAGACCTAAAATATTCAATGGAGCATGAACAGGGCCATTTTACTTCAAAGGTACATCTACACAAAAATCCAAATGAGAACCTGAAAAGTTCTTGGCCAGAATGGAGCCAGAACAAGGAGGTTTATTTGTCTAACTCAGAGGTTATCAAACCTTTCGAAAAAATTTTTGGAAAAATTTTTTCAGCTTGATGATCTTTGTTGCAATTCTTGAACTCTTCTGCTGTAGCATGAAAGTAGAAACGGAGAGTACAGAAATGAATCAGCCTGGTTGTATTCCAATAAAACTTTAAATTAAAACAGGAAAATGCCCTTACAAATATTGGTGCAAAAATACTCAGCAAAATAAATTCAGCAGCATAGTAACAGGATTATTAATATGCAAGTATCAAGTAGGATTCCAGAATGCAAAGATGGTTTAACCAATGTTGTATACCACATAAATATAAGAAAGTAAAAAATAACAATAATTTCATAATAATCTTCTTTTAAATTTTTTTTAGTTGTAGTTTGACACAATGGCTTTATTTATTTTTATGTGGTGCTGAGGGATTGAACCCAGCGCCTTTCATGTGCTAGGCAAGCGCTCTACCATTAAGCCACAACCCCAGCTCCACATGATAATCTTAATTGATACATATTAAGCATCTGACAAAATGTAACCTCCCTTCTTAACAGAAACACTCAATAAACTAAGAACTTCTCAACATAATAGAGGCCATAGATGAAAATATCCACACTGAACAGTATACTCAAGAGTGAGACTGAAAGCCTTTTCCCTAACAATAGCAACAAGAAAAGGATGTTCACTTTAACCACTTTAATTAAGCATTGTACAATCATTCCTCAATATCCATGGGGAATTGGTTTTAGGATTACCAATAGTAAATGAAATGGATATCAAAATCAATGCATACTCAAGTTCCTTATATAAAATAATATGTAATTAGCATATAATCTATGTACATCCTCCCATACACTTTAATTCATCTTTTGATTGCTTATATACCTAATAAAATATAAATGTTATGTAAATAGTTGTTATACGGTATTATTCAGGGAATAAAGACAAGAAAAAAAGTTGGCATAAGTTGTGATTTTTAAAAAATGTATATTCAATCTATGACTGATTGAATGGGCAAATGTGGAGCCAGAGAAATTAGGCAAGCAAAAGAAAAAAAGGGAACCATTTTTGAAAGGAAAAAGTAAAATGATCTTTATTTGCAGAGGATACAATCTCACATGTAGAAAACTCTAGTGACTCCACAAAAAAATTGTTAGAACTAATAAATGAATTCAGTAAAGTTGTAGGACACAAATTCATTACACAAAAATCATTTGCATTTCTGTACATTAGTGATGGATAATCTGAAAAGGAAAGCAAGAAAATAATTCCATTTAAAATATTAAGAACCATAATCAAATATATAGAAATAAATTTAACCAAGGAGGTAAAAGAGTTGTACATTGAAAAGTACTAAGCATTGCTAAAAGAAATTAAAAACTAGAATGACAATCTACGTTCATAAATTAGAAGACTAATAATGTTAAGATTATAAAACTGCTGGTGTGGTAGTACACACCTGCAATCCCAGTGGCTTGGTATTTTGAGGCAAGAGGCTCTCAAGCTTGAGGCCAACGTCAGCAATTTAGCAAGACCCGGTCTCAAAATTAAAAGTAAGAATTAAAAAAGGACCGGGGATTATAGTTCAGTGGCCAAAGGCCCTGAGTTAAATTTCTAGTACTGGGGCGGTGGGGGAGAGATTACAATACTACCCCAGAAATCTACAAAGTCAATGTAATCTCTATTAAAATCCCAGTGACCTTTTTTTTTTTAACAGATAGGAAAAGCAATTCTAAAACTCAAACAGAATCTTGAAAACTAACAACAAGGTAGTTTCTGATTCTAAAACATACTACAAAGCTACAGTCATCAAAATAGTATAGTACTGGCAGAAGAACAGAGAGAGATAGATAGATAGATAGATAGATAGATAGATGGGATAGAATAGGGAGGCCAGAAATAAATCCTCATGTACAGTCATTGATTGTTATCAAAGGTACCAAAACCATTTAATGGGAAAAGGACACTTTTCAACAAATGGTGCTGGAAAAACTAGATATGCACATGCAAAAGAATGAAACTGAACTCTTATGCCATACCAAAAAAAAAAAAAAACAAAAAACAAAAAAAAAAACAACCCTCAAAAAACCCCTCAAAATTCATTAAATATCTTAAATATAAGCTAAAACTATAACTATTAGAACAAAACCAGGAAAATCCTTTGTCAATGTTTGTCAGAATACTAATTTAATTAGACACAAAAGAAAAAATATTATATGGTGTTTGTCAGTATACTAAAAGTACAGCAAACAACAAAAGAGAAAACAGATAAACTGTAGTTCATCAAAATGAAAAAATTCTGTGTATCAAAGAAAACTACGAGGAGAATAAAAAGACAATCCAAAGAATGGGAGAAAATAGTTGCAAATTATATATCAAATAAGGGATTAATATTCAGAATACAAAAAGAACTCCTGTAGATTAATGACAACCAGAAAGAAACTCCACATAGCTCAACTCAAAAATGGGCAAGGAACCTGAACAGACATGTCTCCAAAGAAGATACACAGATGACTATGTGGAAAGATGCTTAACATCACTAATCATTAGAGAAATGGAAATCAAAATCACAACGAATTACCACTGCACACTTATCAGGATCACTGTTATGAAAAATAGATATATGACAAGTGTTAATGAGGACGTGGAAAAACTGGCATCCTCAAGCACTGCTTCTTGCAATATAAAATGGTACAGCCACCATGGAAAATAGTTTGGTAGTTTTTTAAAAGTTTCAACATAGAATTACATGATCTAGCGACTCAACTCCTAGGTGCATACTCAAAGGAATTAAAATCAGGAGTTCAGCTATTTATATACCTCTGTTACCAGCTGCATGATTCACAATAGTCAAAGAGTAAAAAAAGAAAATGGGATGAAGAAAGTGAAACATATACATACAATGAAATATTATTTAGCTGTAAAAAGGGATGAAATTCTGATATATGCTACAACATGGATGGATCCTGAAAATATTACCCAAAATGAAAACAATTAGACACGAAAGGAAAAATATTGTATGATTCCACTTATACTGGGTACCCAGAATAGGCAAATTCACAGAGACAGAAAGTAGAATAAAAATTATGGACCTAATGGGGGTTGGGTGGAGGGTGAGTCCTCTTCAATTTCTTTCATCAATATTTTATAGTTTTCATTGTAGAGAGAGATCTCATCTCCTTAATTAGCTTTTTGAGTTTTTTTTTAATCCCTGAAATTTAACTTTTAGAAAATGAGATGCCTTCCTCAACTTCCTCAGCAATTGACAATCAATTTAATTAAAATCTACTTTAATTCTGCCTCACTTTTAAGTCCCTTGGGTTCACTGGACTAGGATTTGTGATATACTATTTCAGAGAACAATTTTATATGGTAGTAACAGTTCAGAGAACTCCAAATTTTTTTTTTCATCAAAATCAATAGGTATCTAGCCTGCACAATAACCTTTAAATAGACCAGTGACTCAACCTTTTTTCCATTCTGATATACCGTAGAGAACAGAAAATACTCCTAATAGTAAAAGCAGGGTCATATAACCATACGGCACTGATTTTCAGCAAGGTGGGTAAAAGGCAAACATAATTTGATGGGGAGGGAGGTTCCACTGATTGGAGTTATTTCAGAATCTCCAGGGATATTTGTGTAATTAGAAAATGCACCCTACCTAGTTCATATTCTTTTCCCATTACTCCTTTTCCTGACCCAGGGTCAAGAGCAGCACCATTTAATAGAAATATAATTCAAACCTCTTATGTAATTTTAAGTTTTCTAGTAGTTACATTTTTAAAGCTAAAAAAAGGGAAGAGGTGAAAATTTTTTCATGCATTTTATTTAACCCAATGTATCAAAATATCATCTGAGCAAGTAATCATTTAAAAAATTCTTTTTATAGTAAGTCTTCAAAATCTTATATTTATGTATAGTTTACCTCAATTTATTTATTTTTTAAATACGTTTTTAATTGTAGGTGGACACAATGCCTTTATTTTTATGTGGTGCCTGGGATTGAACCCAGTGCCTCATGCATGATAGACAAGTGCTCTACCACTGAGCCACAACCCCAGCCCTAGTTTACCTCAATTTAGACGCTAAAGTTTTCATTAGAAATACTTGATCTGTATTTTGATTTCACACATTTATAATTAGAAGAAAAGATTCACATACTCAAGTTGTTCCAAACATACTAAAAATTTCCCAAAAACTTAACTGAAGATCACTTTTTAATTCTAAATTTAAATAAAATTAAAATATGGTACTTCCAGTCATACAACCATATGGCTAGAGGACAGCTAAGGAAATAAATGATAAAACTAAACATGTCTTTAAGTCCTTACTATGTGCCAAGGACTGCTCTAAGCACCTTACATGTTTTACGTTTTTTAGTTCTCACGGCTATTCCATAAAGCAAGTACTATTATTATCTTCATTTTAATGAGATTTTGTCTGCTGCTCCATGGGTAAAAATCTAATGGCATTTACAAGTATGTTCTTACAGACATACTTGTAAATAGTGATAGCATTTGCTTAGCATTGGGAAGCACTTACCACATAATAGGCATTGTTCAAAGTGCCTGACCTCAAATCTCCTCACAATACCCCATAA